ATATATATATATATATACACGCACACACACCTGAAGCAAGAATCTACAAACTAGATTGAAAAATAAATAAATGAATAAAAGCTTCCAGAAATACTCGCGTGAGTGGGTTTTTTTTTTTTGTGGGAGTGCATAATTATATTTTTAGAATTTATAAATGAGAAAGCATTTCAAAATATAAACAGTGTGGATAATGAAATCAAATCAACAGGGCATGGGGAGAGTTTATCGAGTTTTGTGTTACTACTCTTTGCTTCATATAAGAGAAAAGAGAACAGTTTTGTTTCCTACTCTTTTTAATAAATTATTGCTTAAGGCGTGAAATTGACTGTCATATATCTCTTTCTTTACAATATATATATAAATGGATTCTGGTATAAATAATACTTATGTCCATTTATTTATTTATTTTTTACACAAATTCTTTTTTTATGTAAACAGTTCCAATTTAATAGCCTTCTATTCATGTGTAAGTTTTGTTTGTTGTTAAATATTGAGCCTTTTAAAATGGACAAACCCCCTGCATTTGTGAACAGTTCTATAACTCGCACTTCTCGCTTGTGGAAATCTGTTCCAGTTTCTATCTTCCCAGTTAACTTTGATTTTCAAAAATTTAAAAACAGTATCAGTCGTTATCTTCTGTCTTCTTAATTCCTGATCTTTTATTGTTCTTTCTCCTTAGTAGCGTTCTTTTCCTCATTCTCTCACACTCGCTCCTTGCGTCTTAGTGGTTTTATTGCCTTGCGTGGGGCGAAATGCTTAATAAAAAATAGACTATTGGCAAAAGCATCTTACAGTTTTGTTTAATGAAATGTTATACGATTGACCATTGTGACAAATGGGAGTAGGAATTTCAAAATGCGTATCTCGAGCGTGAATTATAAAATTGTTATACAGAAAGAAGTTCAAGAATTAATTCTTGGGACAAACTGAAGACAAAGAAGCAAGTAGTGAATTAGTTTTCCTGAACAGACAAAGTGCACATTTATTATATTAATTTCTCGTAAGTCACTATTCCATGTATTTAAATCTGAATTTCTGTTCTAATCTTGGCAAATAAAGAATGCAATCATCTAGAAAAGAAACTATATGTCGTGACCCAGACAGCTTTAAAAACACTAAAGAACAATCTATATCTATTCTTTATATATTCTTTTTATTCATTCACTATAAGGCTCAAGAAGTACTAAAGATAGAGGAATGGGGTTCTAAGTCTACCAGAAGAGGATATGTAGGATAGATAAGGGTTAGCTTGATACATGAAGAGGTTAAGTTTGTAGTAAAAGGAGAAGCATCATTTCGGAAGTCTGTTCTGCAAAGTAACACTTCTTGGGATGAAGTTTAAGTAGATCAACTTGTAGAATACGGGAGGAATAAGGATGATTTGACACTGTGTATGTGGCATGGCAGATTCTAGTTGTGAGGGTCTGAACTGCTGGGACTTTCCATGAAAATAGAGATCTAGTAGAGAGAGGCTAGCAAAGTTTTATCAGATGGAAATGGACTGTACGGTAGAAATCAATTCATTCTCTATCACTGTCAGAATCGGAGTGGAGAAGCTCCGCAGAATATGTAGTCGGTACAAAATCCGGTCAATATGCAAATGAAATCTCATTCTATACAGATAACCTATAAAAGTTATAACTGCAGTGGAACAAAACCTGCATATACAACATTACGTGCAGTTGCGGTAAGAGTAGGCCAGTTGAAAGTAACACTAGTTGGATATTAAGATGCTATAATCGGCGGAATTTAATAACGATAAGCATGGTTGAGTGGAGAGTAAACGTGAGTGTACACAACTATTTATGAAACAAAACTTAAATAATAGGTAATATTAGTGCATCAGAAGCGATACACATATACTTAATCCGTCATCATTATGCCATTATTATTAAGAGGATTTAGGATTTAATGGTTGAAAAGAATAAGTGATAAATTTCAGGTTAAAAATCCCTACATAAATGTTCTTTGGAAGCACACGAATTCAACATGTCAGAAATATTAACGCACCTGATGTGTATGTATGTAAGACAGGAAGGCTCAATCTTCTGAATATGAAACAAGTCGAACTGAACAATGAAATGAAACACTTTACGAAGCGTGTCTCAAAATTGAACCTTACAGATCAATGTACTAACTGATCTGTAAGGTTCAATTTTGAGACACAAAATTCTGAGCTGTTTACATACTTTTTAGCTTAAAATTCCCAAACCTGGAAATTTAAATGACTGCCTTTTTGAACACTAAAATTTTATCAACAACAAGGAGAAATAGGGCTGCAATAACAGCCTTATAATCAATTCTAAAACATTCTTCAAATCATAGCAATAGAGGCGTAAGTTTGAACCAATACGAACCCATTTCAGGCCATTGTTTTATTTGTAAAGAAACGCCGATTTGGTAAATCCTATCGAAAAATATTATCTCCACAATAAGTTTACCGAATCATGCCCACTAAAAGGTTTTCAGAACACGCGGACTGAATCGGTAACATTTTCCCTCTTCAGCTCTTTTAGTGAAGAAAGATCAACAATTTATTTACAGGGAGAATCTTGTAAAAATTGATAGATTCGACAGAAGACCAACGCTAAAGAGTTAACCGTATGGAGACTCGTTACGAGTCGGGAGATTGGCATAAAGAACTAAAAACAGGGAGTGTCTCGGCACAATCCGCAAAGTTGACATACCTACATATCACTTCATCCCAAATTTCACTTAAAAACCTTCCTATCAACTGGAATAGAAAGGAATACATAAAGAAAGATTGATGATCTTAAAGTAAGGTGTGCAAAGCAGCCAAATAACTTCAGAACGAGGCTTAATTTGTAGTAAAAATAAACAGACGCGTTCAAGGTTATCTCTGACTTAACAGGTAAAATATGCTATGCTTCAAGAAGTTTTCATACCCAAAATTTCAGTTCACCCCGAAACTCAGAGTGGTACAGTTTTATTTATATCAAGAGAGAGAGAGAGAGAGAGAAAAAAGAAAAAAAGAAACTAAAAGTTTAAATTTCACAACAGTCGTTTTCTGAAGAAAATCTGCTTTACGAATGATAAAATCTGTTGGATAAAAACAAATACCAATCTATTTATTGACTGAGATAGTTGCGTAGTTGTAGGTGTTCGAGCTCAGGTAAAATCGGAGTAATAACTAGTGATTTTCAAGACAGGTCTTCCCTCCGGAGCAAATGCGGAGAGTGGAAGAGTTATCGGCACAGAAGGTAGAATCAACGAGCCGAGTTCGAATTCTGACCTAGTCTATTGTGATCACTTTCGCACCAATGCTTTTGAGAAAGGTATTAATCAACTTCTATTCTTTGTTAAATAGCAGAGTAGACTAGCCTTTCTATCCTTGTTTGGTAACAAGTCTAAGAGAATGAAAATCCTAAATTCCAGACTGTGAACAACGCAACAGCAAACTACTCCATTCCAAGAAGGCATGGCAATTCACAGATAAAAAAGAAAAAGAAAAAAGTATTTGTGGAGAGCCATGATCGCCTACGTCTGGAAGGGAGAAGGCATAAAAATCCTTTATCATTCAGAAGACTAAACAATGCAGTTTACCGAAAGCTTTTCGTGACTGGCTAGTCTAAGTCAATATTGTTAAGAAGTTGTTATAGTCAACGCAAATGACGATTACACTCACTAACCAGGTCGTGATTGGCATCTAGGTCCCACCTATTTACTGTTGAAATAGCTAAATGCAACTAACAGTTTTATCGCACTTCCCGCCTGTGGAACTCCCTTCCGTTTACTTGCTTCACTGATAATTACAATCTTCAAAAATTAAAATGCAACATCAATCTCCATTTTCTATCTTCTGCAACGTCGTCCATCTTTTGTCTTTTCCTCAATGCTTTTCTCTCACTTTCACTCCCTGGTTGGTTTTGGTTGGTTTTGTTTTAGCGGCATATCAACCTCTGTAGGTTATTAAATGCTAAAATTCTAATATTTTATACGCAATTTATTTTTGTTTTTAGAGATGATAATTGTTTTAGTGATATTTATTTAACCCATAGCTGGGGGGGAGAGAAGAGGTGGTTTTATACCTTTCCCAACGATATTTGCGCGTAAGTGAATATTATGAACCCAACGGGAATTGGAACTCGGCTCTGCGATTAACAAGCCATTATCCATTACACAACACGCTTACAGCACCTGGTATTCCGAAGCGGTAACCCATGTAGGTACTGACCAGGCTTGATTTTGCTTAACTTCTGTCATCGTACTGGAACTTCACTTCCTGTAACCCCCTGGGTGATAGCGACATTCCTACCTTGCTTCGGGTAAAATGATTAAAAAAAACACACACACAATTCAACAAATAGACCAATCAGTATGTACAATTTACTTTTATAGGAAATTGCGGGCTCATTGTTAGAAAAAGGTCTTTTCCAATACCTTCCATCACGCCCGTGACGGTGCTATTCTCTGATGTGTTTTACCAGCATATCTCTGTATCTCCTCTCCATTTTCAGCCTGTTCTTTTTCTAACACGTTTTGAGCAGGTATTAATTCATCTTTTTCCCCGGTTTTTCTTTTGTTTCTTTCTCCATACCCCTGCCACCTACTTTTATCTTGATCTAGTCTCGAATCCAACTTAAGCTCTTTCTATCTCATCAATCGTACTGTTCTTTCTATTGCTTTTTCAGTCTCTTTAATTTGTTTAAACAATTACCGCATTTCGCACCTGTACGTCAAATTTAGCATTTTACATTCATTAATGTCGAGTTAGAAAGAAAAATAAGAACAATCAAGTATTTCGAACGTAGAAGAAATAAAAAACAAACAAACAATGGACACCAGAGAATTTGTGTGGAACTCTTCATATAATATTCTTTTTCCATTTGTCTTCATTACTGTTAATTTCTTCATGTTGCCGTCTAATTTTGTTTATAATCCGAGCCGTGGTTTCTCTTCCGTTGTCAGAGTTCTTTTAATTGATGAATTCAGTTTTATTGGGTGCAACTGTTAAGACAGCAGTGTTATATCTCGTAAATCTAATTGAGAGATACAACTGTAATCACTAGATCGCCCAGCAGAATGGAAAGAATTTGAAGGAAAAAAAACCGCCATGGCAGTAACACGAATGGGTTGTTGCAAACGGAATCATTTGAAAATGAAGAATGGGTGAACTGGACGAAAAGAGATCGTGAAAAGAATGAAATAACTTCTAATATATTATTTAATATTTATATCAGGTGAATCATAAATGAAACGATCACAGGAAGAGAGAAATTCGTTGTATTGAATTTGTCCCTGTAAGACAAGAAAGTCATTGAGACATGTTTTACTTAGCATACAAACCAGGAGATTAAGACTACCGAAGAATGGACCATGAAAAAAATGCAGAAAAATTCTACCATTCGTAGAAGGCGACAACTGAAAATATAAGAGGAGGAGAGAAAATGAAAATAAAAGGAATGTAGTGAAAGAGAGCAACTGAGAATGTGATGAGGATGTGTAGAAAAAAAATGGGTAGCTAAGAATAAAGATAGGATTTGAAGGATGACGGCCACTGAGGATAAATTGGAGGATGTGGAGGAAGTTGGGCAGGTGAGAATGGAGGTACAATATGGAGGAAGAGGGCAGCTGAGAAAAAGAGTAGGAAGTGGAAGAAGAGGGCAGCTGAGGATTAGGTTGGAAGATGCAGACGAAGTTGGAGGATGTGAAGGAAGTTACGAAACTGAGAATGAGAATGGGGGTGATGGAAGAGGGCAGCTGAGAATAAGAGTAGGATTTGGAGGAAGTGGGCAACGGAGAATAAAGGTAGGATTTGGAGGAAGTGGGCAGCTTTGAATAAGGATAATATGTTGAGGAAGTTGGACAGCTGATAATGAGAAGGGAGGTGCTGGAAGAGATAAGCTGAGAACGGGGGTAGAATTTGAAGCAGGATAGCAGCTAAGAATAATGGAAAGATATTGAGGAAGAGGGCAAATGAGAATGAGGGTAGGATTTGGTTGATATCACGTGTCGTTTGACTGGATTATTTTTTCAGGATCTGTTTCGTTCTACGGTGTTGTAAACAATTCATTTTTCGTCACCAGTAATTGTTTTTTTTTTTTTTTAAGTGAGTCATTTATGTTGCGTTTGAACAAAGAAATGCGAATAGACTTAGGGTCATAAATTTTATTTTCGTTAAATCGTAACGAAGCCAAAACATCATTGCGATTCACGTAGCAAAGGGTTTTCAAATGCTTTACAATGACTGTAGGCCTGCTGAAACGTTCTTGGTCCTTCTGATCAAAATTTCCACTTTTGAACCTACCGAATGACTTATGTACAGTACTCTCAGCTATGGCACGATCTCCATAAACGGCACATATCAACGTAATTGGAAATTCTGAAAAGCTAACTGATTTGATAAAACTCTTATCTTCCATTAGATTTGAAAGAGACAGTTGCTTCAAAAAAGCAAAAGAAACCTCAATCTAAATCGAATTTACGCTTGAAATGAAAAAAATACTTTGTTTAAGGAATAATGTCGAAGATATGAACTAGAATTAATTCAAATTGACAAAATTTCTGTCTATCTCATGGACGAAAGATCAGGCATTATTAAGAAAATTTCAACTTCCAGTTCTTTTATCACCAACCTGTTATGAAAGTTGACTATGAAGATAATGAAAATGAGCACGCTCCCATGAATATCTTCCGGTTCGGTCAATAACAACCAAATGATCTTACATATAGAATAAAACCATGACTTAATACAGTCATGATGACGTTTGTAAAATTGAAACTTTCTCTCTAGCTCCATGCCAAATATTTGATTATAAAGAATAACATTTTATTCATTAAATTTTCTAAGTTCTACAGTCCTCCAAGACACAAGTTGTCACGTCTCTCTACTGTTTCTTTTTCTTATACATACATACATACATACATACATACATACATACATACATATTTTGCAATAGATTTTTTATTCAAGATAATTTCTACAAAAGTTATTTTGGCGGCTACACACATTTTCAGTGGCTATCTCCGCTTCTATGTTTTTTTAAACAGTGAAATTAATAGCAACCGGCCTAATTTGAGAAGTCCCACGAAAGAAAAAGTGTGCCACCGACAGAAATCGAACCTGTATCCCTTTTTTCTCTCAGGGAAACAATTTCAATAGCCGAAACGTGAACCAATTCGAACGTAACCAATTCGGCTACGGAGACTGAATTGATAGAATAAGTTTTGAATAACCCATTTAAGGGATGCACAACGAATGCCGGTCTGCTGAAACGTTCTTAGTCCTCCAGATCAAAATTTCCACTTGTTAACCTATCAAAGAAACTCATGAACATCTGTCTATATTTCTGAGATGAGGTACTGTAACTATTTACATCGTTTAGATTGTTGTCCTCATCTTTATTGCCATATTCACGACGCTGAGTTACTAAAGGGAATTAACTGATATCGAGATATCCAACAAAGGCATGTCACGTGAAATTAGAACAATCAACGCACGTGGAGTAAAAAAAACACGGTTCGAAATTCCAACGTATATAACCTGAAGAAGATCGGAGCGTATAGCGGGCGAAACGTCTTGAATATGGCAATAAAGACGAGGACAATATTCCGAACGATGTAAATAGTGTAAATAGACTTACGAACAGGATTCTCAGCTACGGCACCATTCCCATAAACGGCACATATTTTTTGCCGTTTGTTTAGCTTTTTTTCTTTCAAGAAATTAAAGAGCATGAAATAACGAAAATGTCTTTTCATTTTCATCCATTTTCAGGTTTAACATAAAAACGTCTTGTTTAGGCTTTTACGATTCTATAACTGCTAGCTTCAGTTGCGTACCCAAAACTCAAACTAATTTTTTAATGAATTTTACCCGGCATTATTCCTTTATTACATTAAAGGCTATTTTTTAGTGAATATACGCAATTGGGTTGCTATCCTTATTTGTTTTTCTTGCTTTTTTGTTTTCTTAAACAGTAAAATTAATAACAACGAAAGATAGTGCTCAGTAACAAGTATATACACCTAAAAAGTATGTAATTGGCAAGTTTGATAAATAGGGAAGATGAAACAGACTCACCGCGCCAAACTGTATCGGTTTTACTCGTCAGGATTGGTAGATGAATCGTGCATTAGCCTGTTTCAGGCTATAACCTTTTTATTTTCAAAAGCTAACTAAAATCTTTGCAATATTTGTTTCATCAGTTCCAAATATTAGCAATCAAGGACTGTCATTATGGTCTGTCCGGCCTGTAATGGGGTGACCAATTACAGTCAAATGAAACGGCATTCTAGAATGTAGATTTCGTTTTTGAAATATTAAACAGAAAGCAGTTTTGTCGATCATCCATGTTTCCAATAATCCTAACGAAATATTTTTTATCAACAGTAAACACACGATTAAGAAAAGGAATCATTGTTTTTTTTTTATAACTAAATAAGCAAATAGCAGTAAATATCCCACTGTTCAGTCAGTCAAATCCGAGCATGATCATTTATGCATTTTTTAACCTTCCTGATTGATGTCAGTTATTTTCTTATTGTTGTATCAGCTACCCGCCCCCAGCTCCCACCCCTCGGCATTCTTCCTAACACCCAAGTGTTTCTTTTTGGATGAACCTTCATTGATGCACTTAATTATTTATTATTGAGTTGGCGACTTACACCCTACGATAGGATCATTGAGCCGATCCATCTTACCAAAAGATAATTTTTGGAAACTGAAAAAACAATCGCTCTAATACAAAGGTCATTCATTTTTTCAACCTGATAAAAATATACACATATTTTTGAATATAAATTATAACATATAAGTATTTGCATCGTCTACCACAAAACTACAATATTGGGACAAGTTTTAAGATAGAACGAACAGCATTTTAGTGTGTTAGTCTGAAAGATGAATCTGAAAAATTTTGTGTCATGGTTGGAGCCCAATTCATGTGTGTGTGTATGTTTGTGTGTGTGTATGCGTGTGCGTATGTGTGTGTGCATATATGGATAGTTGTGCATGTGTGCATGTGTATTTGCATAATGAATCGGGGTCAAATATCCCCGACTAGGATTTCAATGGAAATACGTCAATGAATTAGTAAGTGGCAAAATAGAAAACTATTCATTAAGAAAAGACTTAATTTCTCTGGCTTTTAATTAGAGTTTCGCTTACCGAAATTAATAAGAAATAATGAGTATCACCAACCTATCCCACATTGGAATCGTTAAACTGACCACTTTCTGTCAGTCATTAGAGTTAATGATCTGAAGTTACTCGTGATATCTATTAACGAAGTAGGTAAATGTTATTTCCTTTTTTTTTTCATCAGATATTTGATTTAGCTAAGTATGGTACAAGGCCACTGGTATTGAGTTTAGGTATTATTTTAGAAGTTCTATTCATCATTGAAATATCAACTTTTGGAGCAACATTATAATTAATTCGTTTTATTAATTTATTCTGTTCGTCCTTGACACCATCATGGTTATGAATAAGACATGAGATATATGAGCGAAAGTTCCTTAGAATTCCTATTTTGATAACGAGAGATTGAATATAGAGTGGGGACACTTTTTTGTTTAAATAAAACCGATAGAAAGTTTTCCACATACTGAATAGTAACAAGGATAAGGATGTTAATATCAGATTTATAAGCTGTAATGATCCAACCAATATTGCTAAACGGAAGTGATGTCACAGCCAAAAGGAGAAAGAAAATGGTAGTTTGTAAATTTTAAGTTTTCTCTCTCTCATATATATATATATATATATATATATATATATATATATATATATATAAGTGAACATTAAGGTCAACACCAAGCAGTGAAAGTATAAAGTGTTACATTATCTTCGTTGTATGTAGTGCACAGATTATCTCAAAATGCAGATACGAAAACAATTTTTTAACTAATTTACTTAAATATCGAAAACTAAAATTGAATAACTTGTAAAATACCACTATGAAAAGGCAAATATATACAACGTAGATAATGTAATATATTTTAGACAAAGCCAATACTTGAAACAAGATAACCAACAAGATGTTTACTTTATTTATGAGATCAGGTAAATCAGTATATGTGCACGTGTGCATATACATAGGCGTATAAATACAGACATATGTGCATAATTCCTAACAATAATAAATAAATTGAATTATAAATATAACCTCCTAAATTTAATACTAATGATAATAATTAAAATCCCAGTGAAGATATATAAATACATGTGTATGTTATATGTGCATGATGTTTTAAAAAACATTTTCTTTTTTGTCTTACAATTTCCTCAATATATATATATATATATATATATATGTTTATTTATTTTAGGAAGAGGTACTCCCATCAACAAACATCTCATCAATATATATATATATATATATATATATATATATATATATATATATGAGGAAATTGTATGACAAAATGGAAACTGTTTACTTGTAACGCGTTTCATCCGACAAAATTTATTATGTTGGTACGTGTATACATGCGTACGAATGAGGGGTGCTGGGATTTTTAAATATCTAGCTGAATTTATTTAGAGATTTTTCTTCTTTTTCCATCCCTTTTGTTAGTAGATATCCCACATAGTGGCATTAGAAGATCTGTCAGGAATGGTAAAAAGTGACAGAGCGTAATTTTTTTATGGATCAAGCCACTCTTTAGATATTTACGTCGTAGTGAATTATTTTTTTTTTTTATCAGTGTAGCATTCTTTATTTCAAAATTGAGGTCTGTTTTGTTACAGTGACTATCCAACGCATTTGACGCATTGTTTTGTAAAATGTCTCTTTTGTGTTAATATAATCTTTTATTTAAATTCCTTGAGGTTTCTCCTGTGTATATTTTGTGACAATTATTAGTAGTAATGGCGTAAACTCCTTCAGGTTTTAGCTTATTGTTTTGTTTAATATTGGCTAAGTCTTTTATTGTTTTAGATATAGTAGCAGCATTTTTTTCTTGAGTTTAGAAAGATTCTTTTCGATTTTAGATGTGAAAGAGTTAGTTGGTAGGATAATATATTTTTTGTTTCATTCGGTTTTGCAAGTGGGGCTGTTTTTTTTTGTTTTGGAATATTTTATGGGCATTGCATATTCTCATTGAATACAAAATAATTAGGGTACTGGAGAAGTTTGAAAGTGTTTTCAATCTATTTCTCCTCTTCGGGGAAATAATCCGGGCTGCATATTCTTCGGGCTCTTGAGTAGAATTTGATGATTATGCCGGATTTTATTTTGTTGTAATGATAAGAATAAAAATTAAGTCAGTTGTATTTAATGCGATGCGGCTTGATATCTAGAAGGGTAAGGAATTGTCTTCTTCCATTTTGTATCTAAATTCTATTGTGTTTGACTTTGCTACTATGTCAGGTAAATCAGTATCACGAGGATATATAAGTAGGACATCATCAATACAACGGAAGTATATTGATTGATGGATTAAAATATTTTAGAAAGAACTGGATGGACTAAAGAAATTCTAGGATACAGGCCATCACTCCACTGAGAGGCAATCTCATTGGTAATCCACATTTTTGCTTCGAACAATTATTACTAAATGTGAAGTAGCATTGATTGGTGATGAGATGACAGATTTTTATTATCTTTGCTGTTTGTAGAGAGAGCTTTATCTTTGAGTGTGTTAAATGCTTTTTTTGAGAGAGATTTAGGCTTTTTTCAGCTGGGGTGTTGGTGTAGACGGTTCTTATATCTAAACTGGTCATGCGATTGTCGGCCATGTTGATTTCCCTTAGTTTTTCAACTAGGTTGTCAGAGTTCTTTATATGAGATGGACTGATTGTTCCAAGGAAAGGAAGCTAGAATTTTTGTTATGGCTTTCGCCACTTTATGGGAGGTAATGTCAGGAATAAACAACGACCCCCACCCGCCCATAAAGTTCTGCTAAATAATTCCAGGCATATATCTCAAATCGCAGAACTTTCATCGCGAAGACAAAAGCTTTTGTAAGATTTCTTCAATTAAATTCTCATTTTACTAAAGTTTTTCTTTTTTTTAAATAACGTCTTCAATTCCCGGGGCTGATTTACTTTTTCTTTCAAGCATTTTGTTGCTTGGTTTGCCGGGAAAATATATAAATACTTTAATTCCCAAATGTAAATAAATGAGTCAGGAAAACTTTTCAGAATTCTTTGTCTATAAATTTCTTTGTAGATGGAAACGGAAGATTGATTTGTTTTTTGTAACTATTATTTGGTATTTTTTTTCTGAATAAAAAAAAAAATCTGGATAATGCGACGTGTTTTTTTTCCCAGTTCACCTCAAATCATTCTATACAAAAGATTCCTGGGGTGAAAGAGAATGAAAAAGACTTTAGAAGGAACCAGAAACCCAATCCTAAACAGGAAACAAGGGATAAACCTCAACTCCTCTATTCACCCCAAGCAAGGTGATAATGCCACTAAGATGCAAGGGGCTACTGGGAGTGAAAGAGAATGAAAAAGACTTTAGAAGGAACCAGAAACCCAATCCTAAACAGGAAACAAGGGATAAACCTCAACTCCTCTATTCACCCCAAGCAAGGTGATAATGCCACTAAGATGCAAGGGACTACTGGGAGTGAAAGAGAATGAAAAAGACTTTAGAAGGAACCAGAAACCCAATCCTAAACAGGAAACAAGGGATAAACCTCTACTCCTCTATTCACCCCAAGCAAGGTGATAATGCCGCTAAGATGCAACGGCCTACGTGGAGTGAGAGTGATAAATTCATAATTCCTTGTTTCCAAGGATACAGAGAAATCCAATCATTCAGACAAGAGGCTGTAGCGTGTTCATTTTTATTAACTATTTTTGTACCTATTATGAGTTACGTTCGAAAAAGAGGTTAAGTTTAGGGAGGGTAGGGGTGTATTTTTCAACGAATTCTGACATCTGTTAAATGAATGTCGTCTGTTTTTTTTTTCATTTTTAGCGGAAAAAGGTCTTTCGGCATTATTTCCTACTTGAATATTTAAAGATTTTTTTAATAGGATGTTTAGGTTAGAATACGTTTTATTTAACTACAATTTTAAAATATTTTCACTCTTAATTACTAATAGACTATATTTCTTTTTAAAACTAGTAAATGTAATAGAATTACTTAAATTATATAAAATTATTTTTTCATATCAAATATACGTTCGAATTTTTAAATTTTATTTTTAAATATTACTTAAGGAATTTTGATAAAAAAGTTTGTAAAGAAGCAAAAGATTTTTATTATTTATACTATTTACATTATTCGAATGTTGTCCTCATCTTTGTTGCGATATTCACGACGTGGAAAATACGAAAATTTAAGGAATCAGCGCATATGCTAGGCCGCAAAAAATCTCCTAAGCCGGCCAAGCATAGAAATAAATATAATATGGGAACCAGTAATACGGAGTACAAGAGAAAAAAAATAATTACAACTAAATTTCAATATAAGCTCTGGTAAAATGGTTACTGAGACATTAGTTTTATAAGTCCCCAAAATTCATACACTGATGTCCTGAGGAACACATAGCGCTGTGGATAAAAGCGTTGGTTGGATCCAGTGCCTTGATTCAAAGGTTTATGAGTTCAATACCCTGGCGACGCCTGATGTGAACAAAAACTCGGAGAGTAGAGTCAAAGCGAGATGACTGAGACATCTGTAGACTAGCCATTTAACTTGCTTCCTTCAAATTCTTAGTAGATTACAGTCAACTTCAGCAATATTTCTAATCCAAAAGATCTATTTAAATTTTATTGATGATTATTTTATTCTTTTTAATAAAATATTAAATAATTTCTATTTTTGAGGCATCGTGGAGTAAATCATATAGAAAAATACCACCTCCGAATGGAATCGAACCTGCATCCTTCTTACCTGAATTCACGATTGCATAATCAACGTCGTCCTTCGTGGACAAATCGGTTAAAAGCACGTCTAATTTAACGACGGTTTCTTCTACTGAGGTGGACGCATGTTTGAATCCTGTTGGAGAGGACATTTTAATATATATGAATTCGAATATCAAGGTCAGTAGACGAAAACGTCTACTTAAATATGATTATCCACTAAAAATAATGTTCAAAGTGATAAAAATCCACTTACGTGCAAATACCCTTGGGAAAAGGCATGGATCCACTTCTTCTCGACCCCCCAAGCTATGAGTAAATAAGAGAACAGATTGGATCTTATAGCTTTGGATTATCAACCTGTCTAGGAGAAGGACAACTCTGAATTCAAATCCTCCAACTATGTTAAATAGCCTCACCAAACTGCAATTGACCAAACGTGGTGAGTACAACTTCGCCCCTGTTCATCAGGATGGCGTTTCTATAAGGAATGAAAAGGCTGTGAAACTGAATCTGTTCTAATGAACTTTAATCCGTGATACCTTTTTATGTATGTGCGATTATACCTCTTGTCTTCCATAGAAATAGGACGAGGATTGGATACTCTGAGTTGGGTGCCTTTTGGCCACCAGCAAATCTAATGTCGCCTTGAACACAACAAAAACATTACACGGTGTACATTACCCTAGGTTTATTTAAGTACATACAGATATAGCTAATTCTAACAAACTAACAAGGAACTGTTTTCGAATATAAGTCAACATCTTTAATGGCATTTTACATCCATGTACATATTAATAATAATCTCTCTTTTTCTCTCTCTCTTTTTACACCCCCACAGAGTTTGTATATTTTCTATTTAATGTGTTAAGGCATAAAAATGTGCATTCCTTCTGACTGCTTGAAAAAAACTTCAATGCGTTCATTATCAACTAATAACACTAGTTATATATCATTTCAGCAGTTACTAAATCGCTGCAGAACAATGGCCCCGAGTCTTAAACAGATTCCCGAATTAGAAAGAAAAAGTCAAACGGAAATATTCCGTTCTATATGGCAGATGAGGTCATTTTTTTTCGCACATCAAATTTTTCTGTCAAATACTTTCAAGTGATAAGTTTTACGACTTATTTTAACGTTGCTAATTTTCATATAATTTTTGCTAATTTTTCCATTAAGAAAATAAAATGTCTCATTATTTGACCTAAATGAATAAAGGAAAAAAATTGACCGCTTATCAAATACTAGAATTTGTACGAATCTAAATAGATTCGTACAAATTCTAGAAGCGAGTAGATGTGTCTGGAGGGTGTAATTTCTGTTTTAATAGGAACATAGGTGGATTGTTACGTTTGGATCTTGAGGGCAGGTGAAGAAAGAGTGAGAGACAGAAAGACAGAGAGCGAATGACATAGGAGAGAGAGAAAGAATGCATGACAGAGATAGAATGACAGAGAAAGATAGAATGACAGAGAAAGAGAAAGACATAGACAGAGAAACATAGAGTGAGAGAAAAACAGAGAGAGAATAACACAGAGAAAGACAGAGAGACACAGAGAGAGAGAGAGAGAAAGAAAGATACAAAGAGAGAGAGAGAGAGAGAGACAGATAGAAAGAAAGAAAAAAGAGAAAGAGAAAGAGGAAGAAGGACAGAGTGAGAGAAAGACGGAGAGAGGCAAACACATAGAGAGAAAAAAGCAGAGAGAGAGAGGATAAAAAGAGAGAGAAAAAGCAATACACGCACAAAGAGAAAGACACGGAGACACAGAGAGAGAGAGAGAGAGAGAGAGAGAGAGAGAGAGAGAGAGAGAGAGAGAGAGGGGGGGGGACATACACACACAGACACAGAGAAAGACAGAGAGAGAAATAAAGGGAGAGGCAGAGAGAAAGCGTTAGAGAGAAAGAGAGACAGAGAAAAAGAAAGAGATACAGAAATACAGAAAGAGATAGAGAAACAGAAACAGAAAGAGAGACAGAGAATGAGAGACAGAGAAGAAAGAGCTGGAGAGAAAGAAATGGAGACAGACAGCAAGAGACAAAGAGGGATTGAGAGGGAGAGAAATACACAAAAGCGAGAGAGTGGGAGAAAGAGAGCGATATATAATCCGAGACAGAGACAGATATCGTAAATTTTGACAAATATTTGATTTAGGAGAAAGGTTGTTTATCTCGATTTTAGATTAGATTTAAATTAAATTTAATCGTTTAGCGGATAAGACCTTTTAGAATTTAGCTCGGTGTTGCAACCATTTAGTTTTGTCTGCAAGTGCAACCGTATTCGGCACATAATTTCAATTAGGATTCGACAAATATTGCTTCAGTAACTGAAAGCTCATTCGCTGTGCTAAATTTAGCTCACTGATGGCTTCGGGCGGGGTGGGTAAAGAGGGACACATGTGGACATTACTTACCCAAGTATTTGACGAATTTACTGGGCTGTATATCGAATTACAAGGAGATACTTACAACCTCTGCTGATTGCTGATTTTACAAGTAGACACTAGAGTACATGCATAGTTGACAAGTGCAAAAGACTTGTCGAAATATTACTGAAAGCTGAAACAAGAACAAACAATGTTAAAATAAAAAAGTTGAATTTTTCGCATGTAACTCCGCTCCTTCCAGTGCCCAAATAAAATCATAAATATTATCTACTCTCTCTCTCTCTCTCTCTTGACCATCTATCTATGATGGTTGCTATCTCGTTTCGTAATATATCCATCGCTTGATATCGCGCCATTCGTTTCACAGCACAAATATAGTCTTTAAACACACTCAGCGATTTTCGGTTGTCTTAAATTGCTCAAATTTCTTAAATGAAGTCTTGCCACGTTTAAATTTTAACTTTTTTTTTTAAAGTTGGACACATTAAAAGAAGCTTTAGTGACAGCAAACAAGATGATCCCAAAGAAAAATGGACGAAGACGAAAAAAAATAAATGGATGACAAATGATATTCTCGACATGATGAAAAGGAGACAGAAAACAATGCCAATACATGGAACGGAATAGAAAAATCTACACAAAGAAATAAGGGACAAATGCAAACGGGCTAAAGTGGAATGGCTCAACGAAAAATGCGCAAAAATAGAAAGAATGGGTATCACAGATAAAAGGAGATATGCATAAAAAAATAAGACAACATGACAAAGGATATGTTCGTCAATAGACTGCATAAATTGCAAGGGTGGGACGCTGATACAAGAGAAATAGAAAATACTTCAGACATATAGAAGAACTCTTCCCCAACAAAAGAGAACAACTGGCAATACACAGAAATATCGACAGACCCGAAATATTAAAAACCGAAGTGGAAGCTGCATTGGTGAAATTGAAGAGAAACAAAACTCTGTCGCTTTGGCCAGAGGAAATTGTAGTAGAGATGTAGCCTGCTGTAGACGACTTCGGCATAGAAAAGATCACAGATATAATAAATGAAATCTACAACAGTGGGGATATACCGGAAGACCTAAGCAGATCTATTTTCATAGCACTGCCTAGGAAACCAGACGCAAACGAATGTGAACTCCACCGGACAATCAACTAAATGAGTCACATCCGAATTCTGATGAATAGACAGCGCAACATAATCAGGCCAACGATAGGACAACAACAGTGCGGGTTCGTTAAAGACACCGGAACAAGAAATGCGATATTTATGCTCAGAGTGTTATCAGAAAGATAATGCAGAAGAACGTGTACTTGTACAAAGTACGCCACAAAGATCTCTTAGTGCTTCTCAGCAACCTCGATGTATTCGGGAAAGACATTAGAATAATCAAGAATCTATACTGGCAGAAAACCGCCTACATATGGACAGAAAATGTGTTCAGCAGATATACAAAAATAGAAAGGAGTGTAAGACAAGGATGTGTCTTCTCACCGGATTTATTTAATTTATACAGCGAGGGAGAACTAGAAGTCCTACCAGGATTATTTATTGGCGGCCACAATTCTAACAATATAAGATATGTAGATGACACTGTGCTGATAGCAGACATGGAAAGGAAGCTACAAAACCTCCCACAGAAAGATAGCGAAGGAAAGCGAGAAGAAAGGACTATATGTATAAACTACAAGAAGACAGAATGCGTGGTCACCAGTAAAAAGATGAGCCCAAAATGCAAAGTACAGGTCGGGGATAGTAAAATCGAGCAGATACAGAAATTTAAATATCTGGGAAGTGTTCTAACAGAGGACGGAAAGTTCCACACTGAGATCCGAAGACGAATTGGGATGACCAAAAATGCATTTCAAAAGCTAAGCAGAGTATTAAGAGGCAGAAAAAAATCGTTAGAAACAAAGAAAAGAGTGCTGAACTGTTACGTGATATCTGTCCTCCTGTATGGCAGCGAATGATGGACAATCTCTTGAAAGATCAAGAAGAGAAATGAAACAGAAATGTGGTTCTACAGAAAAATTCTGAGGATACCATGGACTGAAAATTTAAGCAACGCTGAAGTTTTGGAGAGAATGAAAACGAAGAGGAAATTTATACTAAACATCAGGAAGAAGCAGTTGAAATTTCTGGGGCACATAATGAGGAAGGAGGACTTGGAAAATCTGATACTCACAGGACAGATTGAGGGAATGAGGGACAGAGGAAATCAGCGCGTAACATACTTGATGGGCTTGAGAAAATCGATGGCAAAGCAGGGTTTGGGAGAAATAACAAAAAGACAAAACTTATTAAGAGCTACAAGGAACAAGATGGAGTGGAGGGCCATGATCGTCTACGTCCTGAAGGGACACGTCACATAAAAGAAGTTTAATTAGGCTCTATAGGTGAAGGAATGTACTTTATTTCCAAAACACCTATTTGTAGAATAGAAGCCACCACTCAACAAAGAAAAAAACTCGTCAGAAATTAGTAACACAATTGGTAAAGGTCCTTTGAAATATTTAAAACAATTTAAATTATACTCAGGACATCGCAATATTTTTTAAATTTGAAATTTCGAAATGAGATTCAATGCTTTTTTGATTAACATACAACGTTTCGACCAATTTGTTCTCCGACTTTTTCAGGAGATACTCTTCTATTGAAGTTTTCTGTGTACTAGTTTTGCCTAAGTAATCCAGTATGATAATATTGACAATATAATTTTGCTGAATGTTGTTTCAGCAAAATTATGCTGTCCCCTCCACCCAGTTGAATTACAGTGTTTTGGCATATTTACTCACTGGTTTCAATAGGTGTATATCACATCCGATAATTTGAATGAAGGGATTTGTAGCTATATTCAATAAAGACAAGATATAATACATTTAAGCCTCCAAATATACACCAATTTTTTTTTTCGCATTTATTTTTTTGACTTATTAAATCAATTTTTTATTGATTACTTGTTGGAAAAAGCTACCATCCCCGTGGTTGTGAATTTTGGCTTCAAAAAGCACATTATCTCACTTGTGCGATAATCCTAAAATCATAACACCTCTTCATGCAGAAATCAGAACAGCCAATAATACAATGGCTGTTAAATGAAAGTATTGATCCCGCAAAGAGTAGATATTTTAGTCCTTAGAAATAAACTATAGCTTATTTTACTGTTGACAGAAATAAAAGGTGTATATTTAAAACTTCAAGGTGTTCGGGGTGACATGCACCCAGTGAAGATCAGGCATTAACTGCTGATAAAACAAAAATGAAAGTAAAATTAAGAATGGTAGTTAATAAGAAAACATTATCATTAGTCAATAGTTGTTAATTTGACAAAAAACACGTAAAAGAATAATTGGAGTTCATGGTGTAGAGGTTGTTGAAATTACATAATTCCGTATATATTGGTTACTTGAATTCAAAGTGAGTGTCGTAATTCTTTCATTTATTGCTAAGTTTAGTTTTTAAGCGCCAAGAAAGAATTAATATTCTGAATTATTTGAAATATTTACCTTATTTACATGCGGACTATTGTCCTCATCTTTGGCACTCGGACTGTTGTCCTCATCTTTGGCACTCGGACTGTTGTTCTCATCTTTGGCACTCGGACTGTTGTTCTCATCTTTGGCACTCGGACTGTTCTCCTCATCAAGTGCTTTTCGATCTGAATAACCTTCAAGGAACTTTGAACTGCACCTATAATTTCATCTACGAGGATAGCATGTTCTGGTAACGCTGTCCATGACTAGGGTTTATTTTGTCTAGTACTACTCAAAAAGCTGAGGACAATTGTCCACGTGTAAATAATTAAAAAAAAAATTATTTTTCTCTTTTTAGCGTTTAGAAATAAAGCTTAGCCAAAATGATATCGCGCATATAAATAATAACTTCTGATTTCAATTTCAGATAAATCCATAAAGTGAATAAATTTCGATCAATCATCAGCCGAATTCTGATGCAAGATGAAATGGAAGACCAAGACAGTGAAGAAAGATCATGGACTTCTGGTTTCGACTTTGACGATTTATCAAATTCCAAGGAACCCACTCTTCGAATAGTATTCATTATGAACTATGATAAATAAAGGTTCAAACGCTGTTAAATTGCGATTATAGGTATGCTACTTTTTGTGGGCTTGGAAAAAATAACATTTCAATTTTCATTGCAATCATTTTTATCACCATCCATCTCAACATTTTCCTAAATTAACTTAATGAGAAAAGGGAAAATAGTTAATATATCTGATGCTGATGATAAAACAAATATCAGGATTTTTAAATGCTTCTATTACAGAGAAATGCTAAACTTTGTACACTTGGAGTTCTCGCTTAATGTTCTACATTTATATTGTTTTAGCACGTTACTAATGAACAGTGGTGGAGGTACAAATTTGTTTATTTTCTTACTTGATTAACTCACAAGAAAAAGTCATAGTCCAACCACCGTGATGTCTCCTCCATCCACGTGAGGTTCAAATGTTTCTTAAATAATCAAGAACTGGTCCTGTATTCTGTTGAGATAGATTAATTGTATAACAGTTATTTCTAGTGGAGTGAATTTCTGTACAGAGACTAGCTCTACGGACGCCATGATGTAGATTGAACCGAACGGAAAGAATAAAGGAGGAAAGGAAGAAAGACGTTAAATAAAAATGGAATGGGCGGCATTATCTTGTCTGCAACAGACTTCCTGGCCAGGAAGGAATGGGTTGAAATACGCTTGAATACGCGATAGCTGACATCGTTACCTTGAAGTGTCAACAGAAAATAGGGGAGTATAGATAGAAGCGGAAGTGAGCTTAGAGCTGGGACTTTGGTTTCCGGAAGTATCAGGCGTCCATTGTATGGCTAATGCAGAAAAGTGAATAGATTGGTTGAGATTTATGCGAGTCTTACAAACAAAATATTTGTTTAGATTTATATTGTGTTTATTGAATTAGATGTGTGTGCGTGTGTCTGTGCGCGCACGTGTCTGCATATACATATAAGAGCATATTTCCAATAAACAATTTTTACCCAAAAA